TCTACAACTTATGATATATAAAATAATAAATGTTTAGGTCTTTTGATTTTATATGAGGTTTTTAATTAATATTTATGTTAGATATTTTTGTATTCTTAAATATTACATGTTAATTTTCATTTAGATTGATTTTGTTAAAAAAAATATTAAACAACTCATCAAGGGTAAATTGGTTATTTTATCGGCTTTGTTTTATCTAGTCATGTCTTATCAAACGTTAAACAGTTGTTATGTCTTGTTTTGTCCTATCATGTCATGTTCTATATCATATTTTGTTCTATATTGTCTAAGTACAAAACGCACCCTTAATGAACGAACATTAACACACACAAAAATCGTTCGTTTAATGTTCGTGTTCATTTGTTTGCTCAGTTAAGTTAAATAAACGAACACAAACAAACATTTATTTATGTTCGTTCAATTCGTGTACACCCATAAGTCTGGGTGGTTGACAAAGGAGTCCAACGTTTTAATGATATTAATTGGTGAAATTGGGTGTTATTTCTTTAAAATCTAAAAAAAAAGTGATTAGTTTAACTCTTAGCGATAAAAGAGCTAGTTTAGGATGGGGTGGGGATGGGGCAGGTTTTGTAATCTCCGACCCCATTTTTTAGTAATAGCCCCCAGCCTCCGTCCCGTTCCCCCGAGGGGTACGGGGATTGACATCCCGTCCTTGGACAAACCCCATGAATAATATATGTTAGTTTGAGTTTACCGGGGATCCCGGGCCTTGATCCTAGTTTGAGTAACATCCCCCGGCCCCGTAGGCATGGAAATGGACCCCGACCCGTCGGAGAACCCAGTTCACCCGCCCCGGTCGAGGACGGGGATTCCCTGCTAAATCAGTGATGGGAGATGGGGACAGGGATCCCCATTTGTCTCAAACCGGGGATGGGGACGGGGATGGGTATCGTACTCCATGCCCCACACGTACGCGCTATATATATTAATTAATAAATTATGTATATTTATACATACATACATACATATATATATATATATATATATGTTATTTATTTAAACTATTCATAATTTTCTATTTCTTAACTAGATTTATAATCTAAAATTGTAATATTTTGGATGTTAATATGTAATATTTTGGATGTCAAGTCAAAATGCAATTACTCGATAAGTTTTGTATATTATTCGATATGGTTTTTACATTGCTCAATATCTTTTGGTACATGTGACTTCAAGTTTTTTAGATTAAATTGATTTTTTTTTGTTTTAGGTTATTAATTCTTATATGATGTTGTGGTTTTTTTGTATTAAATTAAATTCATTTTGGTTTTAGATTTATTGAAATTTTTCGAGATTTAAACATGTATGGTCTCTCATATATTTAATTTAAAATAACTTACATAAACAAGAAAAAAAAAATCATTTTTTCGCTGTTGGAGATAAGGATGTGATTATATTCCCCAACGGGAACCGGAACCGGGATAGAGATAAGTAATTGGGGACAGGGATGGGATTGAGGTCTCCGCCCCATCCCCTCCCCATTCCCATGCCTATGGCTCCATCCCCAATTTGTGTTTACTGAGGATCCCCGAAACCCATTTTAGTGGGCAATCCTCGTCCTTGTTCGGGTCAGATGAACCAGGTTCCTCATGGGATCGAGATGAATCACCATCTGGAAAGCTTTTTACAAATAATAATTATCATAAGTAATAGTAATTGAATACTTATTAACAATCTATTTAAAAATTAAAAATCAGATTAAACGAAGCAAATCAAAGCCCAAGTAAAACAAGACTTGATCCGATCCATTTGACCCGACAAGTGAGCGAAGTAACCCGAACGTGTATATCGAACACGGCAGAAAAAAGAAAGATGAGGTAGTCGGGTCGGACGCATATAGAGAGAGAACGGGTCGTTTGGAACAACTAGATTGACCTTTGACCACATGGATCCCAATTTTTGGTCCAAGTTTTACCGGCCCCTACAAAATACCGATTCCTTTACTACAACAACTGGAACTAATAAAACCCTTATTAAAAAATCAAAAAACGTTTGCCTTATGCAATTATCTCAGTCTTTGACTCTCACTTTCAACGGTCAATATTCAAATCCCCTACCCTTCCTTACGTCATCTTTAACTTCAATATATACATATACATATACATATACATATACATATATATATATACACGTCTGCACATCAAGATTTATAAAACCCATCAAATTTATCTTCATAACATTCATACCAAGCTCCTCAAATCTTGATTTTTCCGTATAAAAATGGCATTTTTATGGAAGAGACCAAGAGTTAGCCGTTTGGCTGGCAAGAAGTTTCTTCACAAGCAAAATTCCAAGATTGAACTTACCATTCCGACGCATTTCCGGTGCCCGATATCTCTTGATCTGATGAAAGATCCGGTGACGCTGTCGACCGGGATTACATACGATCGAGAGAGCATAGAGAAGTGGATGCAAGACGGTAATCAGACATGTCCAGTCACGAATCAAGTCCTCACGAGTTTCGATCAGATCCCGAATCACACGATCCGGAGAATGATTCAAGATTGGTGTGTTGCAAATCGTGCTCACGGGATTGAAAGAATACCGACTCCTCGAACCCCCATAACCTCTTCGGATATCGTGGAAGTTTGTTCCAAAATGATGGATTCGTCTTCAAATGGCGACGAGAAAAGGTGCCTTGATTTGGTAGAGAAGATAAACGCTTGGGCTAAAGAAAGTGAACATAACAAGAGCCTCATCATAGATAACGGACTCGGCTACGTGTTAGCTTCTTCATTCGAGTCGTTTTCAAGCCTTTCTTTTGAAAAACATCAAGTTCTTCTAAGAGATATTATGTTTTTATTAACATGGATGTTTCCTTTAGGGATTGAAGGAAGATCTAAGCTAGGGTCAGCTTCATCTTTACGGTGCATGATATGGTTTTTATCAAAAGAGGATTTATTACTCAAAAAAAGTTGTATTCTAACCCTAAAAGAACTTCTTTCCTCCGATCAAAGCCATGTAAACACCCTAATCGCCATTGATGGCCTTTCAGAAGCTTTGATCAACCTTATAAACCTTCAAGATTGCCCTTCTGCTACAAAATCCTCTTTAACAGTCATATATCACATAATTTCAACACCTGCTGGCTTCAACAAAGTCTCATCAAGATTCGTGGAGTTGGGTGTGATCGAATCAAGCTTGGAAGCTCTCGTGGGAGCCGATAAAGGGTTAAGCGAGATGGCTTTAGGGGTTTTAGAACGTATTTCGGACACGAAAGAAGGGAGAGAAAGAATGCAGACAAATGCATTAACTGTGCCATTGTTAGTAAAGAAGATATTGAGAGTATCTTGTTTGGCTAGTGATTTCTGTGTTTCATTGTTATGGAAGCTTAGCAACAATGGCGATGGAAGTGAGTTGGTGGAAGCACTTCATGTTGGTGCTTTGCAGAAGCTGTTGCTGCTGTTGCAGGTCAACTGTGGTGAAGAGACGAAGGTGAAGGCTACTGAGATGTTGAAGTTGATGAATCAAATCAAGAATAAGTTGGATTGTTTTGATTCTGGACATTACAAGTATCTCAGAAAGTCTTATTGATTCTTGCTAGTTTTTGTATCTAATTTGTGTTGATAATCTAATTAGGGTTTTGAGAGAAAATGTGTACAGATTTGAAACACATGAGATATCAAATTTTGTTAAAGTGTACAATTAATTAAAGAAGGTAAATTACGATTTCAATTATTTTTTTTACGATATCAGTTAACCGAATTAGCAAAGTATAATATTATTTAATTTATATAACTTCCTTCTAGATGAATTGGTTTGAACATATAAAAAACTAAATAATTAACAAGAAATTAAGATATATTTAATAAAATCATCAACCAATATTATCATTGTAGCATGAGGCGAGGGGGTCATGTGAGAAGGGAAGTTATCATAAGAAACGTAAGAAGAGATCCAAATTCTTGATTAGTTTAATCTCATGTCCACTTATGCATGAATTGAATTGCGTTTTAGAAGGGAATTGATCTGGTGTACCTTACTAGTGTTGACATTCAATTATAATTGATTCAAGTATGGAAATATATTCTTACACTTCTCATCGTATCTTCTATTTTCACCAGAACACTTCATATTTTTTAAGTGATCTACATATTGAATTATGGGTATTGTTGTGGTAATCTTTGGAATTTTCAAAACAAAACAAAAATTAGGAGCCCCTACCCAAAGTCTATAACCACCGTGTAAATAAATATATAAAAGTTATTTGGCTTTTTTAAAATATATTCACCATTTTTTAGAAATATATTAATTATTTAATCTACTTATTCATCCATAATTATCATTATAAAAATATGAAGTTAAGCTATTACAATAAAATGGGGTTTTTGAGATGGGAGACATCGTTTGACATTTCAATAGAGCATTTAATCATAGTCAAGTTTATTAGGTTGAATCTTACATAATTACATTATTGGCGGGAAAAATGAATGAAAATAAAAGCGGAGGCCCGCCATCTGTTTTAATAATTCGATATATCGAAATTAGGTAAGTAATAAATTTTATAAGTGGAATTGAGAAATCTAATATGATACAAGAAACGAATCTTTTATTACGTCTTTTTATATAAGTACACTGATATTTTTCAAAATTATAAAAATGTTAATAAGACGATTGTTGTTTAATGTCTTATTACATTATCCAACTTTACTTAATTCATTAATATATATATATATATATATATAGAGAGAGAGAGAGAGAGAGAGAGAAAGAGATGAACGTTCAAATAAAAACCGGCTTCATTTGTGTAAACCGTGTAAAACAATCTCATCCATCCATTTTCTTGATCAATAGCCAAAATTAGTTTACTTTATTTTAGGAAATTAAATAAAAATATATATTAAAAACTTATTTTATTTCAACAGTAAGAGCATAAATGGTAAACAAAATTTAATATTTTGTAACATCCTATTCGATCTTTCATAAATCTTTTTTCATGCAAAATTATTTTTCTTCCAAGATTATAGTTTACTTTCATGAATCTTTTTTCATGCAAAATTATTTTTTCTTCTTTTCGTTCCTGGTTTGATGCATTAATTCCGTTAAGCCTTGCAATCTTAAAGATTCTAAAGCATATTACAATCTTCAATATTCTAGAGCAGTTTCTTCATGTACCTGTTTCATCATTCAATTATTTCATGACGAACCAAATAYATTATGCAACCGTTTCACTAGTCATGCTCAAAAACGCCATGAACCAGTTTCACTTTCATGAAACCTATTTCATGTACAGTAATTTTCTTATTTCACCACTGATTTGATGGATTCATTCCTTTAAGCCTTACAATCTTCAAGATTCTGGAGCAGGTTATAATCTTCAAGATTATGGAGTAGGTTATAATCATTTCCTCGTTTAATTAGTTCATGACGCATCAAATACAAAATGCACCGGTTTCATTTTCTTCTTCACCAACTAAATGGATCAACTACACAATCAATGCAATGAGTTCACCATGAAAATGTTTCGGTTCACATAATTTATTTGCAAAATGAACCAGTTTCACGTTCATGAAACTTGTTTCATTTCTGGATTTTTTTTTGTTCATCTACGATTTGATGATTTCATTATACATTTCAATTGTTTCATCAAGACTCGTTTGCTGATTCTTAAAGATTACAGTATATGAAATTCAAATTTTTAATATTATAATATAATTAAATATTTAAATGTTACCATTTATACAATTTTCTTTATTACGTTTCTTTAATTAAGATTTATTAACAACATCCATATTTAATAGAAAATATTGTAAATGATTGAAATACCCTTATTGATTAATTTTAATTAGAAAAAAATGGAATTTTCCTATTGGTCGAAATTGGTTTATACGGTTTCTTAGAAATGCACGGTTTTCATTTAAACGTGCCCCTATATATATATATATATATATATAGAGAGAGAGAGAGAGAGAGAGAGAGAGGGGTTGGTTATTATACAACCCTTGACATTTGTGCAACCAATATAACTCAATCTCAACCGTCCATTTCATTTGATGAATATGTGATTTCATAGAAGTTTTGATTGTTTCCTAATATAAAGTATTAATGAACTTTATTCATATTCCATAAATATTCAAATCATAATAAATGAACTCCCATCATTTCTATAATAATCTCAATTAATTGGGTTGCAAGGGTTGTACAAATACACAAGGTTGTAAAAGAAATATACCCTATATATATATATATATATATATATATATCTTCGTCTTGAAATCTTATTTAACGTCATTGTATATGATAGCAATTGGATCGACCTCCTAAAACCCCATTTTATTTTAAAATGAAGTAAGCAATAAATTGAGGTTTCTATCGGATTGGTGATGTATTATTAGACATATGTGTTCCAATATTCATTTCGATCCATATATGTATGTATGTATGTAGGTATGTATTAATCTCAAGTTGGTTTTGATAATATAAAATCCGTGAAAACATTTCATACACAATTTTCTCATAAACATCAAACAAAAATCTTAAAATGCTAAAACACGACTGATCAAATAATCTATACAATTAAAGATTTTGAGTAGTGTTAGGTTACAATCTTTAGAAAAAGTTTAGTTGGATTTAGCATAAATCTTTATATAACATTATTGAAAAATCATTACTTATTTAAAACAATTGATTTTGAAATGATGATTACTTAGGGGGTCGTTTACCAAATGTTTATCCTAATAAGCACTTACCAATGATGATAACAAGGTTCAAGAACCTTACCCGGTAAGAGGGGGGCTAAGGCCGAGAGTCTTACCCGGTAGTGAGGGGAATGACTCTTATCACGGTTAGTGTTTACAGGTTAAATTGTTGCATATAATGTTGTTTTTGTGGACTAAAATCTTACCAGTAAGTAAGTGATAGTGTTGAATTTTACCGATAAGCACCTATCGGATAAGTATTTGATTTACTTTTATGTGTTTGGAGGATCTAATCATTTTGGTTGTTGATGTGTCCATGATTAATTGAAGAGTGAAAATAATGGTCAATAAATTCCTACTCTAGTCGTCTTATTTTCTTTTCTTCCTTCCCATCAAACTTGATCAAATATTCTAGTCAATAATATAGTTTTTAAGAAATTAATGACACTTAAATAGATTCAAACCTCATATTATATAATATTTTGTGTGGTCTCTACTTTTCAAAGAAATTAATCAGCAACTTAATGAGTTTAATGAGAATTACAGTTTATTCGGTCAATTATACATGATTATTTGGTAACAGCTTAATGATATAAAAAAAGGGAAAAGTAAAAAAACCGATTGACTTTACTGTTTGAAATGATCAAGTTTTTGAATAAATAAGTTCTTGAACATTCCAAACCTGTTAAATAAATCTTTTAACTTTCTAAGACCTGTTAGATACATCTTTATGACATATAAAACTGGTTAATGTGATAAAATAATGGAAAAACCCAACCAACTTTCATATTTTGAACGATTAAGTCACTAGACATTTAAAAAAAGATATTTACATTTATAAAGCGAAATAAATATACCATTCTCATTACTTTTACGAAAACATATAAAAATTGTATCTAAAAGATAAATAATCTGCATACAAAACTTAGACATAATTTACCAATAATTGAACCAAAATATATATATCAAAAATTATTTCTAATAAGAGAATCTTATTTTAACAAAAGAAAAGAAGCAAAGTGGATTTATCAAACAAAATTTGTGAATTCAAGTTTGTAAAATGATTATTGATTGTGAAGCAATGTGGATTTATCAAAGAAAATGTGTGAATTCAAGTTCGTAAAATGATTATTAATTATGAAGCGAAGTGAATTTATCAAAAAATATTTGTGAATTCAAGTTCGTAAAATTATAATTAATTGCGAAGCAACGTGGATTATTAAGTTTACTTCAAATTAGGTTTTTGCAGAGATTAGCTAGAAGTTGTTGGTAGAAATAGAACTTGAGACCTTAAAGCGTTTATGTCAAAAAAAAACTGGTGGGAAACGAACCCTAAAGATAAGATGAGAACAAACATCTGAAATCAAACCAAACCTGAGAAACCAAACCGACTTGTGGGAACCAAACCTGAGAAACCAAACCTTGTGGGAACCGGCCTGGAATGGCTGGCGACGGTGGGCCAGTGTGGTGGCGATGAGTTGTGCGGCAACGGGTGGTTGTGTGGTTGAGACGAGTGGTGCAGCGTCGAGGGTGGTGCGGCGGCGAGGAGTGGTCTAGGTCGACATGTTTGAGCAGGGGTGGGGCGGAGCATGCTGCGGAAATTTAGTTTAGGATAGTTTCAGGTTTTTTTTTGTAATTTGTAGTTTACCTCCAATTGAAGTTGCGGGTTACATTTTTACAAATAACGAGGATGTATTTAACAGATTCTAGAAAGTCTAAAGATATATTTAATATGTTTTTAAAAGTCCAATGACTTATTTGTTCCAGAAATTTGTCCAATGACTTAATCATTCCAAATAGTAAAGTCCATTGGGCTTTTTTGGATTTTTTCTATAGAAAATAGTTTATTCAGTAAACTTTATAAGAAGATCTTTATGTAGAAAGTCAAGTTTTTTTTTTTTTTCCAAAACCTATATCTTTCAATTGAAAAACACGCTTATTCCATCAATAAAGAAAATTTTCAAACAAAAACCTTACCAATTAATCCATACAAACAAATTAAT